AGGGTATGTTGGGGGGTTGCATATATGTGGGGGATTGTGGGGGTAGGGTGTGGGTATGAGGGAGGTTGGGGGGTGGTCTGGACCTCCCACACCCTCCCCCCATGGTGGCTGAACCCCAGCAGCAGGTGGGGCGCTCAGGGTGCAGGTGTCCAGCAGGGCACAGCTCCGGCCAGTGCTGCACATCACAGCAACGGGCGCAGCCTCTGCACAGCTGCCTTTATCGCTGGCACTCCCCACCACTCAGGCACAGCCCCTGCACTCACACAGCAGGGAGGGAAGCCCCACGTGCTGGAGCCAGGTGCCTTCCCTGCTAGGGATGCGCAGTGCTGGAGAGAAGCCTCAGGCTCTGGAGCTGGCTGCCTTCTCCACAGGGGCTGTGCTGCAGGGGAGGGATGCCCCAGGAGCCTTCCCCTGTGGGGCAGGGAAGGCAGCTAGCTCAGGCCTGAGGCTACTCTCCTGTGCTGCACTTCCCTCTCTGCTGTGCGAGTGCAGGGGCTGAGCATGAGTGGCAGGAAGTGCTGGTGATACAGGCAGCCACGTGGAGGCTGTGCCACTTGCTGCAATGTGCAGCACTGGCTGGATCTGCCCCACCTACTGCTGCTACCACCTGCTGGGGCTGTGCACCATGGGAAGTGCGGGATGGTCCCCACACCCCCCACTCTCCCTCACACCCACACACTGCCCACCCCAGCTCTTTGCTGCCACTGCCCCATTTCCCTGGGCACAGCCTCCATGCTGCTACCAGCCCCATGCTCCGGGCTCCCTCCCAGCTGCAGCCCCACCCCTGCTGCTTTCCTACCTGCTGCCTGAAGCCAGCAGGAGACTGGGGAAGCAAGCAGGTCCTGGGGACTCTGGCAACAGCAGCCCTGCAGGGAAACTGCACGTTGGCCCACCAGACCCTTCTGCCCACAAAGGTAGGAGTGAGGCAATATGGTATGTTTTTAGGGCTGCATGTATACATGGGCACCTCACTCCCAGCCTTGTGGGTGGAAGGGCTTGGCAGGGCACAATTTGTTGGGGGGGCCCCGCAGGCTGGATAAAAGTGCTTGGCAGGCCACATCTGGCCTGCAGGCCATATTTTGTCCCCCCGGTCTAGAATACAGAAGAAATACCAGCACGAACTATCCATTCATATGCCAAGAGTTCTGCATTAAGAGACTCTGCATTAAGAACTCTCTAGTCTTACAAAAGGAGTCCTACAAAGGAGCTGAGGGTTTGTCTACATGGCCCTTTTAACTGGGATTAGCCTAAAATTGCCATTTCTAAGGTGCATTAAGGGCGTGTGTCTACACGTGCATGCCCTTAATGTTCCTTAAAAATGGCAATTTTAGGCTAATCCCACATAAACTTGATACCTGCTTAAAGCAAGTACCAAGCATGACTAAGATGGCATAGCTAAATTGCATTAACCCACATGTAGACTCTTAATGTGCATTAGTGCAGCTACACATTCACTAATAAGACT